GAACGGAGAACGGGGAACGGGGAACGGGGAACGGGGAACGGGGAACGGGGAACGGGGAACGGGGAACGGGGAACGGGGAACGGGGAACGGGGAACGGGGAACGGGGAACGGGGAACGGGGAACGGGGAACGGGTGTACAGCGGTAACCCACCTGAGAATTCAAAATGGCGGAGTAAACGATGTTTACAAACACTGATTTTATCGCTAGGTCGCCGCTTGCAGCGAAATTAGACGACTCGCTTTTATTTAACTATTGCCCAGGCGAAGCCACGAAGCCTAGTATTCCGAGGCGAGAATTCGAAGTCAACGTTTCTGCAATGGCTGCCACCATTTGTTCTGACGTCTCTCTTTGTTTTTCCTTCCTGAAATCTGCATCTTTTGGCAGAGTTTGGGTATGTTGGTTGTTTGCATTGCCCAACAGCATTTTTTGCAGATAAGTAGCAAGGAGGTAATATCTTAGATTAACAGAAATGAGCTAGGAAACGTAATAACCAGCCTAGTTATTAAAATTACTACATGCAGATATCTGCTTACCTTACCGCAAAATAACATCAGGAACATATCTTTGTATCGACCCATAAACTTCCATGTAAACAATAGAGAAATCAAACATTGACAGAACTTTTAATAACATTTAATTTAACAGGAAAACATGAGTTATGTCTTCAAGAATGTAGGTGTATGAATTCACATTCATGCTAATGCTTACAATAATATTTACACTGCATTGATCATATTCAAGAGAAAGTGATTCCCATAATGTGTGTGAAAGTCATTCAGCTGTTTGCTTTACAACGCTATTGATATTGCTAGGTTGTAACAGTGAAGATATTGGAGGTAAACTTCATTACTTTGCAGTACAATTACTCTATGAATATAAGAATAAATGCCGCGAGCTTGCAGTTCAGAGTTGATTGTTGAAATATTGTGCATGAATTGTAAGATACTCACCTCTCCGAGAATTTGACTTCTATGCAACCTGCAATGTGTGCTAGACAAAAACTAAATTTATGAGGCACTCAACATTTCAAAGTAAAATCCTTCAATAAAACCTACACTTACCGCCTATGCTTTTTGCTCCGACGATCGCGTTCGAAGAGCAGGTGCTCAAAACTAGTTGCCAGACCCTTTTAGTTCCCTTTACTCCGCCCGCGGATCTGCCCTTCCCGCATCGGTCTGGTCAGCCACGAACGTGCCTGCAGCCGATGTCAACGTGGACAACCTTTTTAACCTTTGCTCGCGAAGTCAAGCCAACAGACTCCGCCATTTTGAATTCTCAGGCGGGTTACCGCTGTACACACGTTCTCCTTTCCCCATTTCCCGTTCCCCGTTACTAGTTTTAGTAACATCCCAAATTATTTCCTTTGCGGAACAAATAATCGCAGCAATGCGACACAAAACCTGCAGGAGAAAAAAACTGCGATCACGATCGCCGACGCGAGATACGAAATCGGACGATATCGGAGAAGACCGAACTGACTTCCGAGCATTATCCAAATAGTGCGTTCCTAATCCGCGCATACGTTACATTTTAAGAGAGAATGTCCACTAAGACCGAGCGAAAATGGAAATTCGTGGCACATCTCGAAAAATCAAAATTCTTCATATTTTCTCTGAAGATACCTTTTAGTGGCTTAAGAAACGTGATAGGATTTTTTTCTAGTAATATCTTTTTAAACCTTCATAAAATAAAAAAAGCCGGCACGAGCCAAAACGTCCTGAAAGGCAGCCGCAAAATACGCGATAGGTACCTTCCCATAAAACTCGCCCTTTTGAATTCGTATCATAGAAAGAACCGTTTCGTGCTTTCAACATTGCTGTTGAAGTCTTTGCGAGTAACTTGACTCCAATTTTACTCCAGTGAAAAATATTTAGAGGTAATGTAAGCCGATGGAATTAACTAAAATTCACTTTCGAATAATTTGTAATTTAGCGTGTTTTATTAAAGGACATTTTTTGTACCCAGTAAAACATCGAATAACTTGAATTTGATATTCTTAAGAGAATAGATGCTGGTCTAAAATGGGATGTAAAAATTAGTTTCGGGCCTTTTACCAGCTCCGAGTAGGAAGCCTCTTAAAATAGCGGTTATCACAAAAAAATCATGTCAACCGGAAGTAAAAAAATGCACATTCTCCAAACCCGTAAGCAGAAGATTGTAAGATTTTTTGCATTCTAATAAATCTATGTGGTCGTCGGTAATCCACAGCGCTGAAGAACTGCACTTTTAGATCCTTGGAATAAGATATTGACTAAATATCTGTTTCCGTGAGTATTTATCGCTGGAAGATTAGCCATCTCAGGTAAACTTACACGAGTTTATTCAGCTCTACAGGTCTTTAATTTAACTTAAAACTTGGTTCACCTTCAAAGAGACATTTCTATGCTTAAAATAGGGTTTTAATACGATGCGACTCAGATCAGAGCAGATTGTTTGAGAGGGTATGAAACATGTTTATTTCAGCTGTATTCATGACACGTGGGGTGTTCTAATTTTTTTGTTTCTGGTTTTAAAAGGTATATTAAAACAAATTAAACCCAACATGTTCCTTGGCCTACCATAGGGTGTCTTTAAAAAAATTATCAAGGAAATTGGTTTTCTATAATGTGCCACCTCCAGCTCGGTGTTAGTGGACATTCGCTCTTTTCTGTCCGAAAAAAAAACACACACACACACACAAAATTGACTGTATCAATGTTTTATTTCATATCTCCGCAGGTATTCACAGAAAAGAAGATTACTTTATCTCATTTTAAAGTGTATAAAATGGGGTTTTCAGGAAAAAAAAATTGTAAGATTTCATCCCAGAAGATTTCAGTAAAAAATTCTGAAAGAACATTAATTAGCATAATTTCTGCATCGTTTTCGAAGAAAAAGGAAAACTCCTCCACTGGGTTGTAATATCTTCCTAACATACGTAAGAACAAAATGTTCCTTATTTCATTAGCAAAATGACCTGAAAATCTGAAAGAAAAAGACCAAAACTGACAGTAGTAATGAATTTTCAAAGAGAGCCTCATCCACCCACAAATTTGCGAACATGAATATGTATGATTATATATGATATATATGAATATATATTCAAAATAAATGATCAATGGGCAGAGTGGAATAAAAATAACACACCAGTAGCCTCAGGCACATCCACAGAATTGTCTAAATCCATCTCCTCCTCTTTTTCTGTTTCAAATTCTCATTGATCTTGTTGATCTTCTTCCTCCCTACAAGGAACACAATAAATAATTACTTTTTCGCAATTGGGATCCAATATTTTGCCAAATAAAACAGGAAAAAAGCAATAACAGACGTTGCGTAATCATGGACGCGACCTCATTTCTATGTACCCTGGTCCCAGGGTAAATCGCTTACCTTGAAATTCCGCTTTGGTAATCCAGTTCTCGGTCAATTTCACTTTCTTCGTCAAGAGACATTCTCAAATTATCTTCATCTCCAGTAAAAATTACTTCTAAAGCCTCTTCAACAGAGTAATTCGCCGATCTCGGTCACAGGCTCTTTCACAGTGAATAATTAAAGAGTTTGTATCGTGGTTTCGTTGGACTTGCTTTTGAGCTCCGTAAATGTAAAGTTGTGTGAAATAATCAAAGAAATAAAGTCTTACCTTCGTAGAGAGTAGTCTGTGGTGTTCTTCTCGCTATTTGAGGCCGTTTTGATGTGCTTTAGCTTGACGCCCTAAATTACCGTGCATAAAATACGGGAAGGTCGGAAACTTCTGTTGACACATGCTCGCCAAGATCCCTCAAAAACAACACTTAAAGACTTTCCCTCGGATCAAAACTCGGCAGCACGAAAGCCAAATAGTTGCCCTTTAAGTTCACCGAAAAAAATCCCACAAAAGTCGGTTTGTCGAGCAACCAATCCAGCGAGAATTTCAAATTAACGGCCGTTCGGAATTCTTCTAATGCGTGGAAGGAACTTCTTGTGCAGCTGAGAGACCATTACTGCGCGGTCAACCTGGAACCTAGTCAAATCTCTCTCAACGGGCTCT